GGGCTGCTCCCCCTCCCTCTCCCCCAAAACTCCTCTGGCTTCCGAAGGGAGGGGAGCGAGCACTGCACACCTCCTGCAGCAGCTCTCACGGGTGGCTTTTCCCTGAGCAGGTTTCTCTGGCGAGGGCTGAAACTTCTGCAATGATCCATTTGCTTCAGCAAAGGTCGGAATCCCTGTAAGTAGCGCGCAGGCATTTGTACCTGCCATGTCATTGGCCTTGAGTCGCAGTGCGGGGAGAGGACTGACTGGAGCAAATTGCCTTGGCGGAGGAGCAGGTGAGGCGGGATCCTGAAAGGCCCAGATCCATAAAGGTGTGTAGGCTCCTAACTCCCATTGCAATCAGCAGGTGATCCTCTGACAACTGGCTTGGTGCTCCTAAATCAATCAAGCGCTTCTCAAAGGCAGTTCTAGTCACCTACCTGTGAGCTGAAACAGCAAATCCATTCTCAGACCAAGGAGCGACTTCTAAATTGCTCTGCTAAGCTTAAAGTGCCCCCAGCCTCCCAAGAGACCTCTCCTTGCCCTGTCTCAACAACTAAACTCCTCAGCACCAAGAGGAATGGCCCAGTAGCAGCGGGGAGCCAGGGCAGGACCTCAGTACACCTGGCTTCCGGCCAGAGACCACGCTCCTCCCAACATGACGTGTGTGGCAGGTGATGCTACAGCGCAGGAGACACACCTGGAAGCTGCATTTTGAGCCTTCACCAAGGTGCTTTTCAATAGCTAGGAGGGGACAGCACTTAATGGTAGACCTGACTTCACAGCGCAGGGTTCTGCTTTGTTTTATCCTGTTCCTCCTGTCATCCCATTCCCCACGCTGGATCTTTGCTTCTCTGTATCAGATGCTTTATTCCAAGTCCTTTGTAGCGACCTGTCTGTCTGCCTGTCCATCTAATCTGACTCGTGTATTTCAAGCTCACGTCTTTGTCCTGACCTATTAGTTTTTACAATATGGCTGCGTCTAGACTGGCATGATTTTGAGCAGATACTCGCCCACGTTTGCCAGCACCCTGGTGGCTTGAGGAAATCAAGAGCCATCCAGCTTGGGCCCCTGGTGCCTCCCAGTATCCTGAGGAGACTCCCAAGTCTGGCTCGGGCTGGGCACTGGGACAGGGGCTGGGCAGCCTGCAGCAGGTTTAGGACTCGGAGCTGGATGGAGACTAGGGAGGTTTCTTTACAGCACATTTTACATCGACCTTTAAATGCAGATCAGGTCCTAGCAGGCTGCCTGCGTCATCTCAGCCTTCTGTGACGCTGCTGTCCAGAGAGGACCCTCCGTCACACTGCCGAGGAAATTCCGGCCCCGAGAACATGTCAGCGTGTCTCAGACCTACCCTGAAGGCTGGGCTTGTAGTCAGACTGGGAGACAAAGGGCCTGGGTTCCATGTAGACAGACCGTGGGGCCTCGTCCCTTGATGCCTCAGTTTCCCCATGCTAATGTGATTTACCCAACTCAGGCTGTGAAGCTGAATTCCTGCAGTAAGGTGTTCAGATGGAAGAGGCTGTCAGTCAGAGCCCTGGTTCTCTGCCTCCTCCCCCTTCCACAGGCTTCCCTCTTGCCCTCTTTCTCCGTTTGTCCAGCCCCCTTTCTTCCCTGCCGCCTGCCAGCCTGGCTTGTCCTAGCAATATCCGCTAGGTTCTTTCCACTGGCAATGACACCCTGTGCCGATTGGGCCCCCTGTTTTATTTTCTTAAAACATTGTTTGGGGGGGGAGGGGGACTGGGCATGAGGAGTCAGTATGCAGGCTGACCTGGGGAGAGAAGACAACCCCAGCCCTTTCTCACCACAGCAGATTAGGGTCAGGTGAAAAGCACCTCTCCAAGACCACTGCAGCTCCAGCGGGCACTGGTGTGGGATAGATAGACACACAAAGGCTGTGTCTAGACTGGCCAGTTTTTCTGGAAAATCAGCCGCTTTTCCGGAAAAACTTGCCAGCTGTCCACACTGGCCGCTTGAATTTCTGCAAAAGCACTGACTTCCGACTGTAAGAAATCAGTGCTTCTTGCGGAAATACTATGCTGCTCCCGTTCAGGCAAAAGTCAGTGTAGACAGCTCAGATTTATTTTGCGCAAAAAAGCCCCGATGGTGAAAATGGCGATCGGGGCTTTTTTGAGGAAAAGGGCATCTACATTGGCCACGGACGCTTTTCTGCAAAGCCCATGCCAATCTAAATGCTCTTTTCCGAAAATGCTTTTAATGGAAAACTTTTCCGTTAAAAGCATTTTCGGAAAATCATGCCAGTCTAGACGTAGCCAAACAGACAAACTCTCTGAAATATATAGAAGGTGGCTGTCCCTTTGTCCGGCCAGCCCAGTCGGGTTATAGCTGTCCAGGTCCCCATCTTTGGCCTCTTGCTGTCCCCCTATAGTCATTCTGCAATGTAATTCCCTTCTATCAGATCCCTCCCTTTCTATTTTATGAGAAACAGCCCAACTCCAAGCACCTCCCATTGTCCTGGCCTTGCTTTAAGTTAGGATCAGAAGAAGCTACATCCCGAATTTGGTGATCTTACCTCCTACCGTTTAGGAGGCATTCTTGAACAGACAGATGGACAGACAGACAGATGCCCGTTTCTAAAATATATCAGAAAGAGAAGATGATGAGAAGCAATCCCATTTCAGGCACCTCCCATTGTCCTGGCAGAACCAACCCCTCACCTTGCTTTAAGATAGAATAAGAGGAAGCTGCATCCCAAATTTGTGGTCCTTGTTCATACCTTTTAGGAAGGGTTCTTGATCAAACAAACAGGCTGACAGACAGACAAACAAATTCTCTCAAATATGTAGTAGATTATTACCCTGTTATAGAATGGTGCATAAACCCCGCCACTTAGATGCTGTGGCAAGTTCTACCAGATTGTTAGCATACACACCCAATGCAGGTAATTACATCCAGCATCCTTGCATTCCCCTATACTTAAAAGACACAATAGTCTCCTCCACTTTTCCTAACTGTTTGGTAACATTGCTCCGTGCTGTGAAACAGCTGCAGCATCGCAGAAGTGGCTGCATTCCGGTGGTGGGTGAAGTTACCCCTCCTGATACAGGCCAACATTTTCAAAAGTGGTCATTGAGGTTTGGTTGCCTCGCTGTTGGGGAGTCTGAGTGATCCCTCTAAAACAGGCACCCCACATTTCAGGCTTCCGTCTAACTGTATTGGACAGGTAGTTTGTAAAACGTTTCCAGATCCTTTGCACAGGGCCAGTCAGAAATGGACACATACTATTGGGAAGCTGTGATGTAGTGGGGGGTAACTTGCTGGGGCTGTGGGCGACCTCTGCTGTCTGTAGCACAACCCAGCAGGGCAGGGAGTGAGTCATTATGCAAAGGGGGCTCCAAACCTGTCTGACCAGCTACCCCCCAGGGGGAGAAACAAAAGAAGGTGGAATGCCGCCCCTGGCTGGGGGGCAGGGCTGAAAGAGAGTTCGTTAGTCTCTGTCTGGTATCATGGAGGAAGCAGCCTAGGCAACAGGCTGGGGTTTAGGAACCCAGACCCCCCCATCTCAAGGGGGGCTGAGGCATCCCAGGCCAGCCCTGGAACCAGATTACATCTGTGCTGTGCTGTATCCTGGAGAGGCACTAAACTCCCTCTATTCTACTGGCCGGTGGAGTCTGTTCGTGCCATTACGGGGGTGCAGGAGACGGGGGAACCCCAACGCGCCGTCACAGAAGCCAAGAGAGTGGAAGAGAGGATCAGAGAGCAAGCGTTCGAATGCCTTTCCACACATCAGCTGGGAGTTGTGCGCAGTCCTGGCCACCCTTGCCCAGCAAGAGGCAGCAGGTGAAGAGGGATTCGGAGGGGGGCACTGAAAATGAATGGTCAGGGCCCTAGAAAGACTTCTCCTGCAAAGAGGGGGACTACGTTTGGAGAAGATGAGCAAGTGGGGACATGGCATTGAATGGCTCAGATTTTCCCATGTCCTATTTCTCTTCATGCATGGGCACTGCAAAGCAGCCAGTTCAACAGAGGCGAAGGACGCATTGCTTTATACATTAACTATTTAACCTGTGGAACTCACTGCTGAAACATCTCTCAGAGAGGGAGGGTGATCAAGGCAGCAGCCTAGCAACTTGAGAGACCAGACGGCAGTTTCCTGCTCCCCACAGACTTCCTGTGTGACCTTAGACCAGCTATTGGGGCTTCCGTGGGGCTCATTACTGGTGAGGCTATCGGAGGCCAGGCAAACACCTGTGGTAGATAGGTGAGGTGGTCTGCAGGGGGTGGACATTTCAGTGGGGGGGGGGG